GTAAACAACCTGATTTACGTTTTAATAAATGCTTAGATAAAAATCATTATTTGCATCTATTAAGGAGCAAATGCTGATTACTGTTCATTATAGTATACTCTTGTCTTTAAAATATGAAATAATTAATAAATAAAAATGGCTACTTTTAATGTTATACCAGCATATTAATAAGCTTACCTGAGACATAACAATTAAGGCTAAAGCAGATGTTTTTGCCCACAAAATTGTTATAAAGGAAGGAATTGAGCAGTCGGCGTGGTACGCTTATTCCGGACCGCGAAGTCGGTGATGAGAACCTGCCACCAGCGCGCAGCAATTATCCTGAACTTTCGGAATCTGAAATGCTTTTCCTTGTTGGCTTTTTGGGGATCGAATCGGTACCGCAGCGCGTTTACAATCCGCCAGAGGACGGCCGGCTGTTGGCTTGGAGAGAAAAGGTTCAGAGCGAGTTGGCGTCGCTCGATTCTCCAGATATGCAGGCTAGGGCATTGGGCAGGTAGGTATGAGAATGAGGATACTTGCATTAATTTATAAGTAAAAATTGACCCATTCATTTAAAAATCGTAATTCTAGTCTGTTTTTAGCCGAAATTCCTGTAAGAATGTAATAAGGGAATTCAGTAAATAACAATATAAGATGAAAATATGAGATGTATTGACTCTGTCGTTTAAGCTGATGAGGAGCCGGTAGTTTCAATTTTCGCATGATGGTATGAGTCAGGCTAACGTATTCATTGCATTTTGCATAACCTAGCATTCCCAAAAATTGTTCTCATTCAGATTGGACTGCAGTTTTGACTTAGCCTAGATCATATCAACATCCCCAGCGGGAATACTTCTCATATAATTGGTTTATTGGTAATCTCGAAACTGTGCTTATAAACGAAAAACAAATAATGTGTTCAATTGTCAGAGCAAATAAAACTGGCGGCAATGCGTCGGAGTGATTAAAATGTCGAGCTTACATACTGCACTGTCACGTTTTGATTCCCGCCTGGGGTGTTGATAAAACCTAGACGAAGTCGAAACCCCAGTCCATCCTGGATGAGAACCACCTTAAGGAAAGCAGGGCTATGTAAAAGTCAATGGAAAATTTCGCTTTACCCATACTATTGTGGGAAAATTCAGCTACCAGTTCTTCATAATCTTAAAACAAATAGGGTGAATGCATGTCATAAAACTGATTTAATGATAGTCTCGAAACTCTGCTTATGAACGATGACTAAGGTGGCAATACATACAGAAATTCGATATCATCGGTGAATGTTAGTGCAATTAATTCTTGATTCTAAGCAAAAAATAATTTTCAGTCGTAAGCATAGCTATGCGAACAAATAATAGCTCATTTTTTATAAGTTCTATTCATTTCATAATATTATATTGTGCAATTCACTCCATTCTATGGATTAACTGCATTCTGTTGGTTTATGATATAGCAAAATGCATAATTTTTTAAAAGTATTACCGGTAATTATATTAATTATCGACTTTAGACGGTTTATTAGATGTATTAGATGTATTTAAGGTGATGAAGGACTGGTAAAAGAGGAAAATTCTTCTTCTACCAGTCCTTCATCAGCCTTAACGAAATTGGGTGAATACATTTCATATTACTGATTTACTGGTAGTCACGAAAATAATACTTAATTCGAAAAATTTAGACGGTTTGTTTATATTTAAACAACAGTATATAATGGATATTAATTTAGCTTTTTAGCTCAAATTTTTGTTCAGCTCATCTTTAGCTTATTTCAAGCTTTAATTACTAATAAGTTGTGCTTTTGTCTAGTTCACCTCACTACTTATCTAGTTTTAAGAAAATTTATTTACAAAAATTTTCTTTATTTTTCAGATTTGTCAGTGAATGCCTTGGTGGGCCTGTCAGAAAGGATCAAGTTTTTGCTTTTGCCTACAACCTTAATATTGCCGAACTCCGTTGCCATCTGCAGTCTAATTGCGTTCCTTTAGGCATGTTGAAGGCAGGAGTTCATCTACATCGGGCACTTATGTTCAAGGTAGCGAAAAGCTATTATTGCCTATTTTAAGATGTACTTAGTTCCTTATATATAAACAGACTACGGTATCACCTCTGATAGTCGCGTGGAAGTGATTAATTACACATAGTACTCATAGGAGTATATCTGATAGAATGCCTCAAATTTCTTGTCTTTTTTCTGTTAGAGCTTAGAACACAAATAGCGCATAGAAACGGTCAGTCAAGTATGACTTCTGAAATGGGAGTGCTTAATTATATAAAAACTTTACTATACTTAGAAGCTGCTTCGTATGCATGATTTTGGAGTCATGACCTGCATCCATTTGAGGGTGTCCTGAAACTGCTTTACCCTTAAGCAGCCCTTTCTAGAATAGGTTCACACTAAAGCTTGCGTGTAGATTCTGGTAAAGGATCAATGTTGCCCGTTTTATAGGTGGTCGAGATCTTTCTAGAAAAAGACGTTAAAACTCTCAAAATATTCTTAAGTGTTTGAGTTTAGATAACATTAAAAAAAGACACACATTTGTTTATGTGAAAATAAGCTGGGTTTAGAAGACCCCTTAATTAAGTTAAGGTTTGCATAGCTTTAATTTCGTTTTAAAAGGCGGATGGAAGGTATTCGTAACTTGGCCTAATCAGACAGAGAAGCTCGATTTCCTTGGAAGTATGAGTTGTTAATTGAGTGAAGAAGATCTCGGATCACCGTCCTACTAT